AGTTAGAAATTGAATTTGGGCCTCTTTTTTTGAGCCAATTTTGCTGCAATTTCTGGGGATTTTACTCAATCCCGTTTTTATATACATCTGATGTATATCAGTGTATATAGGGTGTATACAACCCATTTTTCTGCTTTTCGAGACCTGTACGTCAACTCCAAAGACTTATTCTTCGATTTCCCAAGGTTGTTTGACCCGATAAAAGAAGACTTGTTGGGTTTTGAGCCCACTCGAGATGCAAGGAGAGTAGATGCGAGTTCGTGGCGAACTCAAGAGCAAATTTACATGTAAAAGAGCAAGGAAATGAAGATTAATATTTAAACGATAACATAACAATGCATTAAAATGAAAATACACAACTTATGGTAAAATGAGTTATTGCCATGATTTTTAATAAACCAAATGGAGACAGTGCCTATGATGAGCTATGCAGGGAAGGATAACAAGAGCTTACTAAGCTCAATTGAGTCCAAAGCACACAAGTACATTTAAATTAGTCCAAGCTGCTACTTTAACAAACAAATAGCATTGACTAAAATTCCCTTTACATGGCTAGGCAATTAAAAAACAATATGACAAACAAAATTGATGTGTCACTTAACTACATTAATTAGGCACAAACAAATGCATTCAATTTCCTCAAGGAAACAGAGGCGTCTTGAGACGATGAAACCCAACTACTGTATTCTTAAAAATTATAAAATGACAAGCTAGATTTTTTAGCTAATTAATAAGTCATATAAATGCTAAGGGAGAAAACGGAATTCTAATAAGGAAAGTAGCAAATAACAAGTTATATGACTATGGAATCGAAAATCCAAGCCGTGAACAAACTTTGAACAACCTACAAATTTGAACTTAAACATCCTCTTTTACTCAAAATAAACACATTAAAGCTATCATCAGAACTAAACTTAAACCAACATTATTACGATAAGGTGTCCCAAAAGTCGAGCACTTTAACAGGAAGGATTAATAATTTGCGAGTTGGGCAACAAAACAAGATTGAATCTTTCTATTACAGTGACTTACGATGCAAATTAGTGGCAGCCAACAATTTATTAGAATCTATAACATGTTCATGAAAATGGCCTTTCAAACCAGTCGCATTATCAATTCAAACAACCTTAGCACATGGGACTCAGTGTATATTCGGAAATTGAAAGTAAGTGAATAATAGGAATATGAGCTACGTTAGAACGAGATTATGGTGAGCTACACACATAACATTAGTAGCTAGGATATAAGAGAAACACAACCAACATTCAAATCACCTAAGAACATAAATAATTCCTACGGGATGAAGCCAACCATGGCGAGAAGCTACCGGGACATATCAAAACGGCAAAGAAGACAACCAAAATGTACCAACAAATAGTGAAGAAACGGAATAATATCCGGCATGCTCAAAGTTGAAACCAAATGTATAGTATATTATTTCGAGCAAAATTAAAAGAAGATTCAGCTAGCCTTAAATATACAATCCAGCCAATGAACCTCACTACCAACTCATAATCCCAAAGGAATTTTATCATTATGCTACCCCCATGCTTATGGTTCAAAGTTTCACAGAAGAGATGAAGCAGATGCAGGGGACCGAAGAGAAGAAACCAACTATTATTCATAGCAGGGCATTTAGCAAACATTGAGTACATAATACATCCTATTGAGGCGGAAAAGTAAGAGGGGCCTGAAATTACCTTTCTTGGAGCAGCGACTGGGAGCAAACGAGTTGGAGAATAGCGACTTTCACCACAAAATCCAACTACGACTAGCAAATCAAGAAAGTCTGAGTGGTGATCTTTCGGAACTTAGAATCAGCAAACTAAGTTTGAAATTTTTATTTTTTTTAAAGTGTACAAGTTACTAGTGCTCTCAAAAATTCGAACTCCCAAAAAAAATCTCTCTTCCTCTCCTTTGCCCTTGAACATCGGAAACTATTTATAGGGAAATATTGAGCGATTTAGAAGGGGGGAAATCCGTTGGAAAATTCAAACAAAATTTTAATTTCTTCTGCCCTTTTCAAAGCAACAGTAAAGGGATGGGGAAAAAGCTGAATTCCGCGAAAAAGAGGAGAAAGAGAGGACGTGAAGGTTGACGTTGGGGCTTGCTAGAGTATGGGTTTGCAGATGAGTGATGAGATTTCCGGATTTGCTGGGATTTTTTCACTGAATTTCTGGGTTTGCGTGTTAGTTCTTTGCTGGAAGAAGAAGAGGAAAACGTATAGGGGTAGTATGTACTGCTGTACATATTGTGTATGTATTGGTGGGTATGGGTTGTTGGTATAGAATTGGGTTATGTTTGCTAGAAAATTGTATTGGGCTGCTACAAAGTGGCCCAAACATTGGTCTTAAAATGGGTTTGAATAAAATGTTAGATTTTGGCTAAGATAATAATAGGAACTAATTAACAATTTAGCAAATGGATTAAAAAGGCGGCCAAATGAATTAATTTTAGAAGATGGCTAGAATTTAAATAGGACAAATTAACATAATTAATTTATGAGCTTTTTAATCTTAACGAGATAAAATAATTAACTTAATTATAAACTAATCGATTTTCAATAAACTAATTAATTCAAAATTAAAGCTATAATTCAAACTAAAACTAAATTAATAAAATATTTATTTTAACGAAGCAAAAATCTTTTGATATGATTTTCAAACATTTATAAAATATACTAATTACTTATATAATTATATGAAATATATTTATTATTCAAATACTATGGAAATCGATTGAAATTATTTACACTAACCTTGAAATTATTTGAATTTGACATAGCTAATTATTTTAAATCGCTTGAATATTAGGAAGCTCGAAATGATTAATTTATATTGTGGAGGGTCAAAATTGGGTGTCAACACTATCACATGTCTAATATTGATATGAATGACTTAGGTTTAATGAATAGAGGGCTATAACACTAATTTATGTAGAGTGGGAAATAGGCAATTAATTGAGGGCTATAACAATAATCAATGGTCGCTATTTTTCAAAGAAATTGGCTACAATTGCAATTCAAAATTAGGCCAAAAAAGCAAAAAATAAAAAAAACTAACAATACAAGTCTCCAAAAATCAGTTAATCTATGCATGCTACAAGCATATGGATTGTGCTTTTCACCCTAAATTTAATCATCCAAACCCATCCACTGGCTATAATATAATTAACCTTTTCACTATATATATATATATATATGGCACTTTTGAGGCCAAATGGGCTTATATGACAGGAATTTAAAAATGCTTTAATTTGTTCGGTTGAAATTTGTCATGATCCCCGATTCTCTGTTGTGCCTTCCTCTCTTGGTGGATTACTTTCTAACAATAACACACAATGCTTATGTCAAAGACCAAATACAAATGGAAAAAGCAAATTGAAAAAGCTAGAGTGGAATTTAACTGTTCCAATCAGAGTCACTTTCTTTTTATGGGTTTAGACCAATTGATACATCTTTTTTACAGAGAAATAGTGTAATATTTAGAATTTAATCTTTTGTGTAACCAGTAGCATACTCCTTATAGTCTTGAAAATCTTCTTGATAAGCCAAGATGTTTGTTTTCTATTGGCCTCCCCTTGCACCAATTCATGTTTCTTTTCTTTAAACTCACATTAACTTAATAAATAAGTAGGAAATAATCTCTTTTATTCTTAATATTATTTTAACAATTAAAATAGAATTACTTCATATACATTTTTAACTAATAATATAGGTAATATATATTAATTTTCATTCAGATAATGATAAAAAATTCCTAATATATCGAAAATATTTTTATTTTTTAGTTTTTCCCCAAATTGAAATAGGATAAGTATTTCGAATTAAAAAAAATAATTAGGAAAAGAATATATTTAAAAAGAAAGAATATTTATTTAATTATTTGAAAAACGGGTATTTTTGATCCATTAAATAACAATTAGGATATTTTTTAGACCAAACCATTGAGACAAGGACATTTTTAAATAAATTATTAACTAAGGACATTTTCGTTGAATTTTGCTTAGTTGAAAAATATTGGTTTATCCTTTTCCATAGTAAATAGTTATTCTACTAAGGTTTGAAACTACATCTTCCATGTGAGGCTTAAGCACTTCAACCACAACACCATGAGCAAGTTTTCATCTTTAGGTGTCAATCGCTATCCATTGGACCATTTGTTTTCACAAGTTTGTTGTCTATTATAATATACTTGTCCTTTAAAAAATCACTCTCTAAGGAATGACAAGTTTTAAATCTCCATCATCTTTTGAAAGCAAACTAGCTACCACCAAAATATTTATAAATATACACCCAAATGGAGGGGAATATCAGAGCTAATCATCATCAATATTACTCATCTTTTAAGTCCAAAATCCAAGACCTCTTTCTATCTTTGAAAAATACACAGAATTTCATAACCTCCAATGATATTGAATATTTTGCTTGAATTGTGACCAATAAATTAAATCTAGCTTGATATATTTTCAATTTACTTGAATACGATTTAGGAGGCTAATAAATATAGATGTTATGTTTACTGCATGTTTCAATTATAAATTAACAGTAAGTTAATGTTATACCAAGAACATAAAAGAGTGCTCAAACTTTTTTATTAAAAAATGTTACATTTATGTCGTCCGGTTGTACCATTGTGGGAAATCAAAATCAAAATTCATAAAGAATTAATAAAATGTCATCTTTATGGAAGACATATAAACAAATTAGAAAGCTCTCAAAAATTCCAATTTTAAAGTGGAAGATGATCTTGTCTTGTTTGTCTTCTAAGGACAGATGTAGTCAATCTTATGATAAGAGCATGCACAATTTTGAGCACCAATATCCTCTCCAACACAAGGAGCCTCTGCTTTTCCATCTTTGTACCACTGTTTTCTTTGTTGAACTAATTCACTAATGAAATTGTCAAGCATTTCTCGTGTGATGCCTGGCATAACAATAACATGTGCCATATCTTTGACGCATGAAAGTTGCCAACGTCGGACAAATTCATGGTCACGAGGCCTTTCAAGTACAACTATGATGCTAAGTTCATTTAGCATGACACTTATCCCTGCTTGTTCAAGACGATCTTTCAAATATTTGGCATTGTCGAGGCATTTTTTAACATCCTTTTGAAGGCCAATTTGACCTTTAGCGCTCAAGCTATACCATAAGAAAATTGGAGTTAAACCGTTACGACTACCAGAAATAGTGGCATCCACAGAAGCAATGTACTCCACATTTGTTGAGAGATTATTGATGTAACTTTTTCTTGTTATTTGGACACCACAAGGCATTGGACATCCCAAAAACTTGTGTCCAGAAATTGTGACACTTCCAATTGGCTTCTTGAAACTAATCATCTGTTGAATTTGCACAAAGAATTATTAGAATGTTACTCTCAAAATTACTAAAGAAATTGTAATTAGAAGTAAGAAGTGAAACTCACATTGTTTATAAAAGGGGTCATAAGACCACATAGTGCAGCATCACAGTGGATGTAAAACCTATCTTGTGAATAGCCACAATTTTTGAGTGTTTCAAGAATAACATCAACATCATCAATAGCTCCTTTGAACGTAGTTCCTATAGTTAAAAGAACCATCAAGAGAAAAGTCGTAAGATGACTAATTAAGTCCATAAAAGTAAAATGAAAAAAGATAAGAGGTTGGGGTAAATATATACCAATTGTGACATTTATAATTGCTGGTCTGTCCTTATTTTGAAGTAACTTTGCTCTTAAATCTGAATAATCCATCTCTCCATTTACTGATGTGTTGATTGTTTCTGAATCCATTCTGTACATTCTTGCAGCTTTGAAGACTGAGTAATGAGAGTCTTTCGATGCATATAATATTCCCTCTGGAAGTAGTTCTCTCCTACATAAATAATGTTAAGAAATTTAAGAGCACTGAAACAATATATAGAAGTTATTATATTATATATACTCAGGTCAATTTATGAACTTACCCTAACAAAATACCATGGAGATTGCCTTCGGTACCACCATTGGTAACATATCCCCAATATTGGTCCTTTTCAATTTCCCACAGTTGTGCAAACCAATTCAAAACAGCCACTTCGAAGTCTTTAGAATGGAAATCGACAGTATTTTGAAGGAAAGGATCACCACAATTGTTTAGGTGAAACTGTAAAAGTGGTGCTAGAGTTGCATAGTGATCATAACATATGTTCACCGGATAACCTAAATGATAATTGACTCGTTGGGTAAGTGTGTCTAAATAATTGACCAAGATAGTGTCCAAGGAAGGACCATCATTCTTCAATCCAGGCTCCACCACATCAAGTTGTAAGTTCTTCCTTGGCCCTGCGCCTGATTGCTCCACCTTTGGTTTCTTGTTGTCCACATTCGGAAACAATCTTCGTCGTGCTAAACTTCTTGGTGTCATTGCTAAACTTCTCGGTGTCATTGGTGATCGCTCAAAATCCTGTCAAATATCATAATCCAATTTAAGATATAGTTAAGTAAATAAAAACATATTTTATCTAACGAGGAGATCATACAATTCAACAACTTTGATTCTCACATCTAAACATTGTTTCTTTTAGGTGTTAGAAGACTTTGGTTCAAAATAATAGCACTATCAATTGTTTGTACATGTAATTAACATGAAGAGTACATACCATTTCAAGTGAGAGACTACCCATTCTCTTAAAGCACAAGTTTATAAGTTTTCTTTTTTTGTTTGCTTAGAATGGAAAACCAATTTCTGTGTGAATTTTGTTCATGTCTTGAGTACTTATATATACAACTCTATGAAAGACCAAATTTTTGTGCACTAACCACCCTTTTCCTCTTCTTTTCCCCCTCTTTTTCCTGCTAGTTTCTTCAATATATCCCACTTGCCTTATTCTAAAGACCATTATGTATATTGCAAAATGCATGTGGTCTTGACCCCGTGTTAGAAAGTGACTGCTCAACTTTGTATTTTTGAATGGGTAGGTGAGATTAATTAATTAGAATCTTAATCAAAATAATCAGGCTAATATTGGTGCCAAAACTCAAGCTGGTAAAAAATTCTCTTTGGACTCAATTAGAATTATCTGGTATAAACCATTGTGTAAATACAACCAATAGAATGTTAATTTTGTATCAACTAGCTTCCGAGAAAAAAATAATGATAACACGCGACCTCAAGGAATTTTCGCAACCTGTCAATCACTAGACTAAATCTTCAACTTGTGTCAAGAGATGTCAATATTTCTGTATATATATATATATATATATTTATTAAACCAAAATTTAACTTCTATATACAATATAATTTTCCGATAAAGAAGTATCGCTTGACACCCTAGTATGGGTGGCTCCGCTCCTGGTAGGAAGGTTCAATAGATGAGTTAACAGTAATTAATTTTATTATTTCTAACTTTCATCTATATAAAACAGAGAGGTACGGTCAATATTTCTATTAATCAAGGAAAGTGGTACGGATATTTCATCGTTATTTTGTTGTTCTTGGATGATATTTGAGTACGTTTACATATAAAATAATCACGGGGAAGGTTGATGAAATTAAAATTTCGAAATAGATATGATTTTAAACTTTTATATGTAAGAGTACATGGACTTAATTGTGGTGTCACAAATGTAATATATTTTGTACATACAATTATTTATAGTTACTCGAAGAAAAATCTTATTAATGAAACTGGTTATACATACTATAACAAAAACAACTTTTAGTCGCAATAAATATACAAATTAACAAAGACTATTAAAATTTTATCAGCATCAATTAATTGTCATTGGATTAATTATCGCTATAGATTTTAGGGACACTTACGATTTACAAGAATGTTAATTACCTCTATAGTCACAATCACGTCATTTTTTTGTTCTACAATATTTTCGTTCTGCTCGTTAATTAATGATTCAACGTCATCAACTTACTTGTTTCATTATCTAATTTATTTTACTTGTGTATATGCACACCATATAATAAAAAGGAGGGAAAAAAGACATTATGACCAAATACTAAAGTTAAAAAATAATTACACTAATTTTAAAAGTAAAGTCAAAAAATTTAAATGAATTTCACTATGTAATATCAAATTTTCAGTCTTACGCGACACGAATTTAAATTAGTTAGATTTCAATCTATATATCGAACACTTAAAAAAAAAAGAAAAAATCAAACTCATGACGATTTTCCCTTGTGTAACCAATATTTTTGTGTGCAAGGTTGTTAAAGTTGAAAGTTAGTGCAAACATTTTTTGACCAAATATTTACAAATTGGAACAAGGCCGCGGCATTTTGTTTTCACTCTCTAGATTCCTTTTTTTCTCTAAATTCCAAACAAGTAGACTCTACTTCACTTAACAATGCAATAGTTCCAAATGTCAATAATAGGATAAATGAAGTGGTCAAACCTTTGAATTGGTCTTTTTAAATCTGTTCACACTAATTAATCATTCAAAAATATCAGCCGATAAATCCAATATATGTATTACTAATTTATTTTTATTTTTTCTGTCACAACTTATTGTCCTTTATGCGCAGAGTAGACTATAGTATATACTAAGCTTAGTATTATGCAACAGTCACAATTTAACCTCTAATATTTCTATCTCGTGAAGTTTGAGAAATGATTCAATTTATATTTTTTACTAACGTAATTTCATTTGTGATGGATAATCTTTTTATTTGTTGACCTATTCAAATTTTGGAATTAGACTTGGTTATTAATGTTGGTATCTCTGTTTTTAGAGTGGAGTTCGTAGTTGATAAATTAAAATTAAAAATAGCACTCAATTTCCTTCTGATTTCGATTATAAAGCTAATTATTTTTTGCCTTGTACTTGAGAATATAATGTTTTTTTTGTTGGCATACGCCTCTAAAATTCTCATAGACATTATAAATCTATCATTTCTTATCAATTGACTAATTATCTACAGGATATAATTTAATACTTGTATAGGTTAATTGGGTTTAAGTGAATGATTAAAATTTTAAAAATAACTTCAACCAGTAAAAAATTGTAAAATGAAGACCAGGTGTGTGTGCATAAAAGAACAATTCTCTCAGTATTATATTTTGTCTTTTGGTAAATTGTCATTAAAAATCTTTAAAACTGCATAGTAACTCATTTTTTTCTAACCAACGAAGTTGAACATTCTTAACTACTAAATAATGTTACTTTATGGTCTTCATATCTAATTCATTGAAAACATATTGTTTGCGTTGTTTGGTATCATTAACCTAATTTTCAAACAATAAATCCATTATTAAAAAATTACTATTTTTTCGCTGAAATTTTCACTAATAATTGTTCATAGTTATTTTTATAGATATTTTGATTAAATAGGTTGAGAAAAAATAGTAACGTTTTCATACGGAAAAAATTACGGAAACTTTATTCTAAGAATCTATTTTCCACCATGCATTTTTTCATTGAGCTTACGATTGAAAATATCTTTGTTTCTAATAGTGGTTAACGTATCCACCCAAGGCAAAATCAAACTTATCTTTTGATAATCAAACTTTTAGGCTTTAAACCTTATCCCATGTGACATTTATTTTCTTAAAAAATAAAATTATAAAGATTCAATCCACTAGAGCTCTCTACTTTTGTTAAATTTAAATTCCAAGTTCTTTTAATGAAGACATCATTCAGAATTATCGCACGAGTCAAACTGTAAATATAATTTCTTTTCTCCCTTCCAATTTGCAAAGTTTCAATTTACAACTACCTCCACTTTGAAGTCCTCTTTTCGACCATATAATAATTAAAATAAGAAAAAAGGATTATTTTTCTCTTTTCTATTCAAAAAGATATAAATATAGCATCCCTTATAATATCCCAACAAAAAAGCCCCTAACATAACCTAAATATCCAAAAATACCCCTCTTCGCAAACAGTAGTCTGGCATGAAAGAAGTTATAACAATTTTTTTATATGGTTATTGTCTCTAACAAAATTATGTTTTCCCTTGATTTATCTCATATATATATATATATATATATATATATATATATATAACTTCGATTCTAATTTTATTTATTTTTATTGAAAACTCATTAAATATGTATAATAATATATCAAAAAATAGGTGGAGAGGTTCGAACCCACAACACTAGTATGGAAGCATTTTCACGGCCCCGTTTTTACCACTGAACCATCAATTAATTTTTTCAGAGATTCATAAGTTGATATATATATATAATTT